AGGCAGGTGCTGTGGTTTCTGGCCGCGGGGAAGCACCCACCTGGCCCGGAGCGGGTGGGGGTGGGCGGCTGTGGGTGTCCCTCTGCGTGCCGGCCAGGGAGAGCTCGCGGAATCCTGAATCTCTCCTTTGTCTTCCTGTTGGCCAAGTTCACTGCCTCTTGGCGGGCTGGCGGGCTGCGCACGGGAGGAAGAAAAGGCCATCTGAGGCAGGAAGATGAAAAGAAGCCTTTAGCCATCCCGGGAGAGGCTGGCTTTCGCTCCCGCGTTGTTATGTAAAGCCGGCCCTAATCCAGCGTCTTAGCCGCCTTAACTGGCCAGCTGGGAGCACGCACACGGGGCGGGAGATGAAGGCCGGGCCGGTTGCGCGGGGCCGGGCTGCGGAGCTCCTTTTGAACTGTGGGGAGAACAAAGTCCACATCGAGCCCAAGCCCCAGCCGGCGGGGTGTGGCAGGGGCGGCACGCGGCTGGAGTGGGGCGCAGGGGGCTGGTGCTCTAACCACTGAGCCCACCGGCCAGCTCAGGTCCACCTTTCTTGATGACGGACCTCTGGCGGTTTGGTCATTTCCTTGTCCAGTTCAGGCAAAGCCTCTTTTCAAAGCCTCTCCCAGTCAGGTGACCCTCTCCCTGCACCACCAGGCCGGGTGTATGTTCCCCTCCGGCCCCGGGCCAGTCCACCCAGACACCCAGGGGGGAGGTCTCAGCCATCCATCTGGCTGCGCAGCCCTGGGTGGGCCTCGGGTCCCCTCACGTGGAGCTGGAAAGCTGAGGATGGAGAGGGGTGGAACCTGTCAGGGTCACACAGCCGACCGAGGACAGAGTTCCGGCCGCGGGGTCCTCATTCCGGTACCAACTGAGCACCTGAGGCAGCTGGGGGCCCTGGAGTCTGAGACAGGGAGGCGCTCACTGGAGAGCAGCAGGGACCCCCACTGTCCCCCGACGGAGGGGGCAGGTGGGTTGGGTGGAACCTGTCAGGGTCACACAGCCGACCGAGGACGTATCTCGAGTCCTCATTCCAGTACCTGAGGCGGCTGGGGGCCCTGGAGTCCGAGACAGGGAGGCGCTCACTGGAGAGCAGCAGGGACTCCCACTGTCCCCCGACGGAGGGGGCAGGTGGGCCGGGCGCTGGCTCCTCTCCCTCAGCTCAGAGCCATCGCCCCCTGCACCCCGCAGGCCCCGGAGGCCCGGGTTCAGCCCCACGGCAGCTCCCCTCAGATCCCCTCTTCCTGCGGCCCCGCCTGCACCGCGGAGACTCTGCCGCCGTCACATCCCGGGAGGCGTCCCTGGTTTCAGGTGGCTCGGGGTCAGGTTTGAAACGCTGAATTTCAGCACAGGTTCCAACTTGGGTGGGGGTGGGGGAAGGGGGAAAGGGACATGATATTTTTAGCCCAAAGAAGGCTTTTTTCCCCCCCCTCTCTCTCTGTCCCTGCCCCGGCGTGGCCCCCTCCCTCCCTGAACAGATGTCCCTTCTCAGTCCGATTTGAACGTCACGGCCAGAGGCCGTGCGCCTGATGCTGCAAGGAGAGAAAAAGGCCAGAGAGTTTTGGTTGGGAGGGTCTCTCCCCCGCTTTTTCCTTTTAAATTTATATTTTTGTTGATTTCGGAGAGGAAGGGCGAGGGAGAGAGATACAGCAACATCAGTGACGGGAGAATCATTGATCGGCTGCCTTCTGCGCGCCCCCCTACTGGGGATCAAACCCGCAACCCGGGACTCGAACCAGCACCCTCCTGGGTCATGGGTTGGTGCTCAGTCACTGGGCCACGCTGGCCGGCTGCTCTCGTTTCCTGTTGGTGATGATGGCGAGCGCTGGATAGTGCCACAGGCTCTGTGCTATACATCGGGGCACCCACTGCTGAAGGCGGGGCCCGTTAGCTGAGTAACGGCTACCATGGTGGTGTGATACGGGCTCCCTGCGCAGGAACCCTAACCTCGTTCCGGGGGGCGTGGAGGCGTGCTGCTCAGAGGTGGGGAGGCCCAAGCCGAGGACCCGAAGGAGGAGCAGGAATCGGGGACAGAGAGAGTGTTCGGGGCAGGGGTCACAGTGTGAGGGTGCGGCCAGGTCAGGAGATGCAGAGCAGTTCCAGGGAGGGATGCGCTGAGAGGCAGTCGTGGGCGGGCGATCCTTTTTAGAAGGGAAACGGCTTGGTCAAGTTGCTTTTAAAAAGATGTTTTTATTGATCTCAGAGAGAGAGGAAGGGAGAGGGAGAGAGAAACATCCATGATGAGAGAGAATCATGGATCGGCTGCCTCCTGCACGCCCCCCACTGGGGATGGAGCCTGCAACTAGGGCCTGTGCCCCGACCGGGAATCAAACCCTGACCTCCTGGGTCATAGGTCGGCGCTCAACCACTGAGCCACACCGGCCAGGCTCGAGTTTGCTCTTTAAGTTCAGTCTCTTCTTTTGTCAAACGTGGGCAGCGACACACCCTGCGTGGCGTTAGTGAGGGGAGCTGGGGGAATAGTGTGTGTTCCCACTCACTTCACCGGGTCCCGGGTACAGCCCTCGGCCGGACAGATCCCTGCGTCTCGGGGACCCTCGCTCCCCGGGGAGAGCCTCCTGCCCAGAACGCAAGAAACCATTTGGCCCGGAATGCACACACGATCCCTTTCTGTTTTTCTGCTCAGAGGTGGGGAGGCCCAAGCCGAGGACCCGAAGGAGGAGCAGGAATCGGGGACAGAGAGAGTGTTCGGGGCAGGGGTCACAGTGTGAGGGTGCGGCCAGGTCAGGAGATGCAGAGCAGTTCCAGGGAGGGATGCGCTGAGAGGCAGTCGTGGGCGGGCGATCCTTTTTAGAAGGGAAACGGCTTGGTCAAGTTGCTTTTAAAAAGATGTTTTTATTGATCTCAGAGAGAGAGGAAGGGAGAGGGAGAGAGAAACATCCATGATGAGAGAGAATCATGGATCGGCTGCCTCCTGCACGCCCCCCACTGGGGATGGAGCCTGCAACTAGGGCCTGTGCCCCGACCGGGAATCAAACCCTGACCTCCTGGGTCATAGGTCGGCGCTCAACCCCTGATCCACACCGGCCGGGCTCGAGTTTGCTCTTTAAGTTCAGTCTCTTTGTCAAACGTGAGCAGCGACACACCCTGCGTGGCATTAGTGAGAGGAGCCGGGGAATAGTGTGTGTTTCACTCACTTCACCGGGTCCCAGGTACAGCCCTCGGCTGGACAGATCCCTGCGTCTCGGGGACCCTCGCTCCCCGGGGAGAGCCTCCTGCCCAGAACGCAAGAAACCATTTGGCCCGGAATGCACACACGATCCCTTTCTGTTTTTACACGCAGCAGATTAGCCGCCTAATTATATTTGGCATCAGCTAATATTAAAGTTCATCTGCCTCCCCTCCAACAGCTGCTGTCGGGGGGCTGGGGAGTCAGAAACATCCCGGCAATCCACCCCGAGATGGAAATATTTGTGGTCGATAATCTGTGCGAGGACCATTAAGAAGGGGCGGTGGGTGCGCTCGGGCGAGTGTGCGGAGCCCAGCGAGGAGGCCGTGGCCCGTGTTAAATCTGACATCGTGCTGAGCGCACGCCAGGCAGCTGGGCCCGGAGAGGTGCCCGCCACGCCTCGCAGTGTCCCGGGCGTTTCTGGTCTTCGCTGGGGCTGATGTAGTCACTAGCCTGTGTTCTAATTTGCGTCGTCTTCCAGAGTTTAATGTCAACCAGGCCTTTCTGGATTGTGTTACAGTAAGCCGGCCTTTGCTGTACCATTCAGGGTCGATTTAAATA